ATTTAGAGATCTTGATAGCTCTGGCCAAAACAGCAAAACCCACAATGTGTCGGGGGGGGGTTTTTTGTGTTTGGGGTTTTTTTTTTTTTTTTTTTTTTTTTTTTTTTTTGGTTTGGGATGGTGGAAGGAAAGCTCTCTTTCTGAGATGCCAGCTAAGAAGGAAGGCCAGCTGGTTGATCCACTACCTCTCTGAGATGGCAGGTTTTCACAGCAGCATCTGTCTCCCAGGTCTTTATTGGCAACATTGTAAGACTGAGATTTAGTTTAAGCATGCTTTCTTTCCTCCAGTGCTATGGAGCCGAGCTCTCAAACAGCTGTTTCATTTCTTGTGGTTACTATACCGTGCATATAGTTTGCCCATTTTTCATGGAGTTGTCTGTCTGTCTGTCTGTCTGTCTGCTTCCACCCCGTGTGTGTATGCTTATGTGTGTCTGTGTTCTCATGCATATGCATGTCGAGGCCAGAAAGTTTGACAGTAGGTATTGCTATTGTATTAGGTATTGTTTCTTCTTCTTCCTCCTTCTCCTCCTTCTCTTTCTCTTCTTTTTTTCTAGAGAGGTAAAACTTAATTGATTTCTATGACATATAGTTGACTTCTCAACACAAAAGATTATTTGCTGCTTCCCATCTCAATTGTTTCTTCTCATTGTTTTTGAGGTAGGGTCTCTTACTGAATCTTGAACTCACTGATTCAGCCGAACTGGCTGATCAGAGAGCTTCAGGGTTCCTTACTCCTTTCTCACTTCCCCAGGGCCAGAGTTACAAGCATGCATGGCCATGCCTGCACTTTATTTAGTTGGTTGCAATAGAGTTCAGGTCCTTAGGCATACACAGCAATAAGTTTATCAGCTGAGTCGTCTTCCCGGTACTCGTGAGATCACCTTTACGAAAGAATAAATAGTATAGTTTGTATTCTGCAGCTACTTTCTTGCACTTTGCCTTCTGAGTAACTTCTGGCCACCTGCTGTTGGTGAGGAAGTGGAGATGGGTGAAGTGGCTACTCTAGGCTAAAACAAAAACAAACAAAACCCAGCTACTTTTTATGCCCACTATTTAGTGACTGTTGACCTTCAGGGAACAGCGCCTCCTGTCCATTTCCCCAACCTAAGATGATGATGGTGTGTAGAGAAGATCTTAAGAAAGAAAGACTCTGTTGGCTTGTAGTCTCAGAGGTTCTGTTCAGTCCAGGCTTGGTGGGCCTGGTTGCCTGTTGGGAGTCAGCACATTGGGTACATCATGGGGGGAGCACCTGTGTGAGGGTCAGGATGCTGCAGGAGGGGGGAGGACAGAGCGATGGAAGGAAAGGAGAGAGGGAGAGAAGGTTTCCATATATCCTTCAAGGGAATGCGCTCAGTGACCTTTCCCCCCTAACTGGTTCTACCTGTGGGCATTTCCCCCTCCTCCCAATAGCACCATCAGCTGAGAACCAAGCCTCTAGTGCAAGAGCTTTTGGGGGGACATTCCAGATCTAAGACATCAAACTTTGATGGCTTCTTTTTGAAATGGTGCAATAAAGGGCCGTCTGTCTCCTAGGCTGTATCTGGTTTTCAGTTTTGGGTAAATGAACACGTTCTGAACGATTGTCCCACCCTTTGGACTTAAAGCCCACATGGAAGACACTGACCTGGGTCCAGCTCTTTGTGCTTTTCAGGAGTTGTGTCTTTTACTTTAAGAAATTGCTGAAGCTGAGCTTCACTAGAAATGCTACAGAAGAGCTGGCCAGATGGCTCAGCTGGCAAAGGCACACGCTACCATGTCTGCTCACCCGCTTTGCTCCCTGGAACCAGGGAAAACTCGTTCCTCAGTTGGAAACCCATCCAGACGGCAAACCACTTTGGAACAAGGTGAAGGTGGGATTGAAGTATTTCCCCTGAAAGCCTCTCAATGTGAGTTTTGTTTTCTTTTTGTTTTGTTTTGTTTGTTTGTTTGTTTGGTTGGTTGGTTTTATATCCAGAAATAAAGCTACTCATCTTGACTTTTCATGAAAATTGTAGCTTCTTATGGGGTGTGGAGAGATTCCTCAGCATTTAAGAGCATTTACTGCTCTTACAGAGGAGTCTAGTTAAGTCCTCAGCTCCCACATGGCTGCTCAAAGCCACCTATAACTGCAGTTCTAGAGGACACGATACTCTCTTCTGGACTCCATGGTCACTGGACAACCCCCGGTGCAATACATACATGTAGAAAACACTGCACACAAAATAAAAATGAATAAAAATCTTTTTGAAAATAGCCTATACATGCACTTTTAAGTTTAATTGTGTGTGTGTGTGTGTGTGTGTGTGTGTGTGTGTGTGTGTGTAATAGCCCACATGTGGTGTAACTTACCATATCAGAGGATAACTTGTGGGAGTGAGTTTCCACCATGGTTTCCAGGGATCATAGGCATGTGGGCAGGCTTGGTTGTGTCAGGTCTAAGGAAACTTCATTTCCCCAAATTCTGTCAGTTAAACAACAGCCAGCACCCTCTGCACCTGTGAAGCTGGTTTCCCTCTGCCCGAGGAGCCATTTCCTTTACCATGGCAGAAGAGATAATTACATCATTAAAATGCATACTGGCCTCCAGGCTCCCTCAGCATCACAAGTACCTGTTACACATTTCGGAGTCAGTGCTGGCATCCTAGCTCTTCTTGGTTTTTCTTGCTTCCCCCTTACCCTAAGCTCCCTCCAGATCAGGAGCTTTCCTTCCCGCAGCTTCACCTCCTTATAACCCGGCTACTTCCTCTGTGTGCTTCCTCTTGTCTTCCCCTGCTGTGGGACAATGGACTTGTACCCTGTAAAGACTTGTCACTTTTATTGGTTTAATAAAATGCTGATTGGCTAGTAGCCAGGCAGGAAATATAGGTGGGCAACCAGAACAGGAGAATTCTGGGAAGAGGAAAGGCTCAGTCTGAAGTCATTACCCAGACACAGAGGAAGCAAGATGAGAACGCCTCGCTGATAAAAGGTACCAAGCCATGTAGCTAACACAGACAAGAATTATGGGTTAATGTAAGTTATAAGAGTTAATAAGAAGCCTGAGCTAATAGACCAACCAGTTTATAATTAATGCAGACCTCTGTGTGTTTCTTTGGGACTGAATGGCTGTGGGACCAGGCAGGACTGAAACCTCGGTCAACATTCCTCTCTTTGACCTCTCTTGGTCTTTATCTCTCACCCCTTCCCCATCCACCTCTACTCTGCCTCTCTCCTGGCCAGGTCCAGTCTGCTGGCGATGCTCAGTCTACCACTTTATCTCTCCGCTCTGGAATCCTCCAGATGTCTCTGCCTGTTCTCTCCCTCATATCTACAATAAAATCCTTCCCCTTAGCACTACCTTGGAACAGTCCTGTAGACAGTTTACATGGGTAGCAATCGTCTTTACCAGCTGGGCCACCTTTCTAGCTTTTTAGTAGTATTTCTAATGAAGCTCCGCTTCAGCAATTTGTTAGAGTAAAAGACACTCCCCTGAAAAGTACAGGAAGTGGAACCCAGGTCAGTGTCAATGCAAATATTAAATTTATATTAAAAACTATGGGATTATTTCTGCTTTTTTTGTAACTGGATTGCTTGACTCTTGAATGTGAAGTTCTAGATGGCGGTGTTGTGTCATTGTTAAGCGCTGGGCACTGCTGAAGGGTTCTGTGGTCTAGGCCACATAGAATTCCAGCACATCCAGAAGTCATCATCCTGCCACACATCCTCATGACACTGCAGGGTCCTTCTGGTGGCTCCAGTGTCTCTTCAGGAAGCTCTGCCCTTCCTCTCGCTTTGTCTCTTCCCTCCTATAGCTGAGGATGCTGGTGTTTCCATCTGACCTCAGCAGTGCTGGCAGAATTACTGTGCTTTCTCCTGTCTCTGTCTCTGAGGCTGATACTTATTGGAACTCTGTTCAGACCATTAGAGAAGACCTGGATGTTTTGCTAGAGCAGAGCCATAGTTTCCCCTCTTTAAAAGCACATTTCCAGGTGTTGAGCTCAACTATGAGAGAACATACAGGAATACAAAGTCCCTGCACTCTCTGGCTTGCTTCAGACTCCCTGGGCCTTCCTTCAGCCTCTTTAAGGTTCTGAGCCCTCCTGTGGTGCCATTTTCTTCCCTTTAATCACTCCCCCTTTCATCCTGACCAGGTCCTGGCATTTCTTTGAAGACTGAGAGATGAAACCAGAGTGAACAGTGTAATAAGAGGTTGCATAATTCTGAGGAAACTACACCATTCTTTAAATTGGCGCTTTTGATCAGGGTTCTTGCTTATTGCAAACATTCCTTCTGCTGAATTGTAAGTTTGGCTATTATTTTTAAAAAAACATTTGCTGGAATCATCTGTAGACCAATTCTTCACTAGATCTTAGTTATTCCAGGTACAGAGAAACACTCCTCACCTAGCAAACAGGTGACTGTGTAGGTCTCAAGTTGTGAACCTCTCGGGTGGGTGTCCATGGTAAAGAAGTGACCAGTGCTCTGGGGACTGCACTCCTTCCCCAGCCACCCGGTGGTGGTTTAAATGGCAAGGCCCTCATAGCCTCACATATTTGCATGCTTAGTCCCCACCTGGGGCGCTGTTGGGAAGGATTGGGAGGTGTGGCCATGTTGCAGAAGGTGTGTCCCTAGGGGTGATGCTGGGAGTTTCAAAATCCCTGTCCAGACCCAGCGTCTCTCTTTCTCTGCCTGCTGCCGCTGGATCAGGATGCAAAGACCCCAGCTATTGCACCAGTGACTGCTTCCCACCGTGATGATCACAGACTGACCCTCTGAAACTGTAAACAAACCCCAGTTAAATGCGGTCATGGTGCAGCTTCACGGCAGTGAACGGTGAT